GAAATTGTAGGTTGCTAGTTTGGGTTTTTTGAAAATGTAGGTTGCTAGTTTGAGTTTTTGAAATTGTAGGTTGCTAGTTTGAGTTTTTGAAATTGTAGGTTGCTAGTTTGAGTTTTTGAAATTGTAGGTTGCTAGTTTGAGTTTTTGAAATTGTAGGTTGCTAGTTTGAGTTTTTGAAATTGTAGGTTGCTAGTTTGAGTTTTTGAAATTGTAGGTTGCTAGTTTGAGTTTTTGAAATTGTAGGTTGCTAGTTTGAGTTTTTGAAATTGTAGGTTGCTAGTTTGAGTTTTTGAAATTGTAGGTTGCTAGTTTGAGTTTTTGAAATTGTAGGTTGCTAGTTTGAGTTTTTGAAATTGTAGGTTGCTAGTTTGAGTTTTTGAAATTGTAGGTTGCTAGTTTGAGTTTTTGAAATTGTAGGTTGCTAGTTTGAGTTTTTGAAATTGTAGGTTGCTAGTTTGAGTTTTTGAAATTGTAGGTTGCTAGTTTGAGTTTTTGAAATTGTAGGTTGCTAGTTTGAGTTTTTGAAATTGTAGGTTGCTAGTTTGAGTTTTTGAAATTGTAGGTTGCTAGTTTGAGTTTTTGAAATTGTAGGTTGCTAGTTTGAGTTTTTGAAATTGTAGGTTGCTAGTTTGAGTTTTTGAAATTGTAGGTTGCTAGTTTGAGTTTTTGAAATTGTAGGTTGCTAGTTTGAGTTTTTGAAATTGTAGGTTGCTAGTTTGAGTTTTTGAAATTGTAGGTTGCTAGTTTGAGTTTTTGAAATTGTAGGTTGCTAGTTTGAGTTTTTGAAATTGTAGGTTGCTAGTTTGAGTTTTTGAAATTGTAGGTTGCTAGTTTGAGTTTTTGAAATTGTAGGTTGCTAGTTTGAGTTTTTGAAATTGTAGGTTGCTAGTTTGAGTTTTTGAAATTGTAGGTTGCTAGTTTGGGTTTTTGAAATTGTAGGTTGCTAGTTTGAGTTTTTGAAATTGTAGGTTGCTAGTTTGGGTTTTTGAAATTGTAGGTTGCTAGTTTGAGTTTTTGAAATTGTAGGTTGCTAGTTTGGGTTTTTTGAAAATGTAGGTTGCTAGTTTGAGTTTTTGAAATTGTAGGTTGCTAGTTTGAGTTTTTGAAAATGTAGGTTGCTAGTTTGAGTTTTTGAAAATGTAGGTTGCTAGTTTGAGTTTTTGAAATTGTAGGTTGCTAGTTTGAGTTTTTGAAATTGTAGTTTGCTAGTTTGGGTTTTTTGAAAATGTAGGTTGCTAGTTTGAGTTTTTGAAATTGTAGGTTGCTAGTTTGAGTTTTTGAAATTGTAGGTTGCTAGTTTGGGTTTTTTGAAAATGTAGGTTGCTAGTTTGAGTTTTTGAAATTGTAGGTTGCTAGTTTGAGTTTTTGAAAATGTAGGTTGCTAGTTTGAGTTTTTGAAAATGTAGGTTGCTATTTTGAGTTTTTGAAATTGTAAGTTTGCTAGTTTGAGTTTTTGAAATTGTAGTTTGCTAGTTTGGGTTTTTTGAAAATGTAGGTTGCTAGTTTGAGTTTTTGAAATTGTAGGTTGCTAGTTTTAGTTTTTGAAAATGTAGGTTGCTAGTTTGAGTTTTTGAAACTGTAGGTTGCTAGTTTGGGTTTTTTGAAAATGTAGGTTGCTAGTTTGAGTTTTTAAAATTGTAGGTTGCTAGTTTGAGTTTTTAAAATTGTAGGTTTCTAGTTTGAGTTTTTGAAATTGTAGGTTGCTAGTTTGGGTTTTTGAAATTGTAGGTTGCTAGTTTGAGTTTTTGAAATTGTAGGTTGCTAGTTTGGGTTTTTGAAATTGTAGGTTGCTAGTTTGAGTTTTTGAAATTGTAGGTTGCTAGTTTGGGTTTTTTGAAAATGTAGGTTGCTAGTTTGAGTTTTTGAAATTGTAGGTTGCTAGTTTGAGTTTTTGAAATTGTAGATTGCTAGTTTGAGTTTTTGAAAATGTAGGTTGCTAGTTTGGGTTTATTGAAAATGTAGGTTGCTAGTTTGGGTTTTTTGAAAATGTAGGTTGCTAGTTTGAGTTTTTGAAAATGTAGGTTGCTAGTTTGAGTTTTTGAAATTGTAGGTTGCTAGATTGAGTTTTTGAAATTGTAGTTTGCTAGTTTTGGTTTTTTGAAAATGTAGGTTGCTAGTTTGAGTTTTTGAAATTGTAGGTTGCTAGTTTGAGTTTTTGAAAATGTAGGATGCTAGTTTGAGTTTTTCAAATTGTAGGCTGCTAGTTTGAGTTTTTAAAATTGTAGGTTGCTAGTTTGAGTTTTTGAAATTGTAGGTTGCTAGTTTGAGTTTTTGAAATTGTAGGTTGCTAGTTTGAGTTTTTGAAATTGTAGGTTGCTAGTTTGGGTTTTTGAAATTGTAGGTTGCTTGTTTGAGTTTTTGAAATTGTAGGTTGCTAGTTTGAGTTTTTGAAATTGTAGGTTGCTAGTTTGAGTTTTTGAAATTGTAGGTTGCTAGTTTGGGTTTTTTGAAATTGTAGGTTGCTAGTTTGAGTTTTTGAAATTGTAGGTTGCTAGTTTGGGTTTTTGAAATTGTATTTTGCTAGTTTGAGTTTTTGAAATTGTAGGTTGCTAGTTTGGGTTTTTGAAATTGTAGGTTGCTAGTTTGAGTTTTTGAAATTGTAGGTTGCTAGTTTGAGTTTTTGAAATTGTAGGTTTCTAGTTTGGGTTTTTTAAATTGTAGGTTGCTAGTTTGAGTTTTTGAAATTGTAGGTTGCTAGATTGAGTTTTTGAAATTGTAGTTTGCTAGTTTGGGTTTTTTGAAAATGTAGGTTGCTAGTTTGAGTTTTTGAAATTGTAGGTTGCTAGTTTGGGTTTTTGAAATTGTATTTTGCTAGTTTGAGTTTTTGAAATTGTAGGTTGCTAGTTTGGGTTTTTGAAATTGTAGGTTGCTAGTTTGAGTTTTTGAAATTGTAGGTTGCTAGTTTGAGTTTTTGAAATTGTAGGTTTCTAGTTTGGGTTTTTTAAATTGTAGGTTGCTAGTTTGAGTTTTTGAAATTGTAGGTTGCTAGATTGAGTTTTTGAAATTGTAGTTTGCTAGTTTGGGTTTTTTGAAAATGTAGGTTGCTAGTTTGAGTTTTTGAAATTGTAGGTTGCTAGTTTGAGTTTTTGATAATGTAGGTTGCTATTTTGAGTTTTTGAAATTGTAGGTTGCTAGTTTGGGTTTTTGAAATTGAAGGATGCTAAACAGGGTTTAAATGATAAGGTTTGATAAAATAAAGGGAATATTTTTTGTTAAAATCATCATTAGAAGTAATTGTATCAACTTTTGGTGATGTGTGAAAATGACAGGCTATAGCAGATTGTTCGTCCTTCCCACGCGAAGATCACCAAGGCAATTTTCAACTTGAGCGGTAGCCCTGACTTGAGCTGTATTTTGTTTAGAGTAAAAGAGAGTTGCTCGATTCGTCAGCATCATTGTCTCGTCCTTGTCTATTTGTTCCAGTGGAAGACTTAGTCAAAGACGTCTGGACATAGACCGGGATGCAGTAAATAAACATTAGTGTGTTGTGTGTGTTTCACTGTTCTGTCGATGCGTTGCGGGAGTGGTCGGAATTTTCATCGGGTCATTGTCACGCCGCCTACGGGATTCCATCTCCGCGTTTGATTTCAGAATTCGCCTTTTCTTAGATGAGTTTCCATCCAAGGTCCCATCCCTCGGGGTTCTGGTTATTGCTTTTGCTTTTGCTAAGGATTGAACTCCAGTCCACTTGCTTTGTATTCACTCAGTGTAGACCCCTTGACCACCCAGAATAAACACACACAATTCAGGGCGCATATTTATGATTTGAGTTTTTCATTTAATGTTCTTTAACTTTTCATTTGGCAGGGGTATTGTTTTAGTAGCCCCCCTCTAAATATAATCCTGCATAGTTTACAATAGAGTATCCGATTCTGTGATTTTTAAAGCATTATTGTGTACGAAATTGACGGTAATAGAATTAATATTGATCATTGTAAATGTTAAAATAACGTCCACAGACACGAGTCTACTCAATCAGAATATTTGGCTATGTCATTTAATATATGTTCTGTGTTTTAAAGCTTTGCAGTAGATTATTATTTTTTTTGTTAAGTAAATTTGTAAAGAAAAAACAGTGGAAAAATCCAGGGAAATTAGTTAGACAAGTATGAGAATACCTGAAAAAAGGAACGCAAAAAAACAACTAACGTGTCGGCAAGAAGCCTTCGTCAGTTAATAAACAACAGAAAAAAACAACAACAGAATTAAATTGAAACATAGCACTTAGCTGAAAAGTAGTATCCGAAAGGGCAGCAAAAGAATTGAGTGAAAATTCACACTTCACTTGTTTTGTTGAGTTCCCTTTTTCAGGTTTTACCATACCTTATTTTACTCATTTCCCTTTTTGCTAACCTGATTGCAGTCTCTCCCCCTTATTACCATCGCTAATAATTTATGAGAATTTGCATGAGGAAAAAACATAGATGATGGCTACTGAGCGATAACAATCAGTGCTCAAGGCTACCATCCGACTAACGACAATCAACGTTTGTGTCCGACATCCGCCCGTCTCAATGAAATGACGTTGTGGACTTGGCAGGATGACATCACAAGGCCCTCTAAGATAAGGAAAACTCTGAATTTAAACCTGGCGGTGGAGTCCCGTCGGTGGTATGACACTAAACTCAATTTTCTATGATACTTTTTTAAACATATAAAATCCATAAAGATATTAAACTCCAAAACATTTATACCATTACTAATCAATCCCGAGTGACTATAAAACACTAGAGCTGCAACTCACACTCTTGACAATAGGGTAATGTTAGGTTACCGTAGGTCACGTTAGGTTCCCATAGGTCACGTTAGGTTCCCATAGGTCACGTTAGGTTACCATAGGTCACGTTAGGTTCCCATAGGTCACGTTAGGTTACCATAGGTCACGTTAGGTTACCATAGGTCACGTTAGGTTACCATAGGTCACGTTAGGTTACCATAGGTCACGTTAGGTTACCATACGTAAAGTAGGACACGGCAACGGGACAAATGATCAAAAGTAATTTAAATGTACCTGAATGTATTTATTTATAATATTGATACATTTATTATAAAAGTTTCAAAACATTTGATGTCAAACATAAATAAATTTCATTTGGTTCAGTGTACTATTATACAGTGGTTCCAAACCAGTGCTCCACCTGCACTTCTCATGGGCTCCGCTGACCACCCAGGAAAGAAAATAACACCATTAACTTTAGGCCTAATGAGCTCCCACCCCCCTTTTTTTTTTGACTATTCAAGGGCTACATGAGACAAAAAGGTAGCGAACCACTGCCCATAAACAGTGTGATGAAACATTTAATAAACATAAATATCATAAATTAATAACACAGAACAACTCCTATACGTGTCTCATGTCTCGTGGCCAATAGATTCAAGCTATTCTAACGTGTATTTATAGACGGTCTTGTAGTCTGACATCCTCCTCTTGTATTCCTTGTCATACTCGTCATTCATCGCGTCATTGAAATAATTCTTCCAGTCTCCCACGTCACCTGATCAAAGAAAAGAAATAAAGAATTCAACATTTTAAAAAAATATATGTTAATGATTCATTTGGACACGCCTTCCATAAAACTGAAATACATTTGTGTTGTGACGTTATTGTTGTGACGTTATTGTTGTGACGTTACTGTTGTGACGTTAGTGTTGTGACGTTAGTGTTGTGACGTAAGTGTTGTGACATTAGTGTTGTGACGTTATTGATGTGACGTTTTGTTGTGACGTTTTGTTGTGACGTTAGTGTTGTGACGTTATTGTTGTGACGTTATTGTTGTGACGTTATTGTTGTGACGTTTTGTTGTGACGTTATTGTTGTGACGTTATTGTTGTGACGTTATTGTTGTGACGTTATTGTTGTGACGTAAGTGTTGTGGCGTTATTGTTATGACGCTATTGTTGTGACGTTATTGTTGTGACGTTATTGTTGTGACGTTATTGTTGTGACGTTAGTGTTGTGACGTTATTGTTGTGACGTTATTGTTGTGACGTTATTGTTGTGACGTTTTGTTGTGACGTTATTGTTGTGACGTTATTTTTGTGACGTTAGTGTTGTGACGTTAGTGTTGTGACGTTAGTGTTGTGACATTATTGTTGTGACGTTATTGTTGTGACGTTATTGTTGTGACGTTTTGTTGTGACGTTATTGTTGTGACGTTTTGTTGTGGCGTTAGTGTTGTGACGTTATTGTTGTGACGTTATTGTTGTGACGTTATTGTTGTGACGTTTTGTTGTGACGTTATTGTTGTGACGTTAGTGTTGTGACGTTAGTGTTGTGACGTTATTGTTGTGACGCTATTGTTGTGACGTTCTTGTTGTGACGTTATTGTTGTGACTTTATTGTTGTGACGTTAGTGTTGTGACGTTATTGTTGTGACGCTATTGTTGTGACGTTTTTGTTGTGACGTTATTGTTGTGACGTTATTGTTGTGAAGTTAGTGTTGTGACGTTATTGTTGTTGTGGCGTTGTTGTTGTTGTGACGTTATTGTTGTTGTGACGTTCTTGTTGTGACGTTATTGTTGTTGTGACGTTATTGTTGTTGTGGCGTTTTTGTTGTTGTGGCGTTATTGCTGTTGTGACGTTATTGTGATAGAGCAAAGTGGGATGTTGATGGCAGTGGGTGCAATCTTCTCGATCGGCAATGCAAGGTGTGCAAATATCATGAATTATCCATATACATATAATCATAAAGACAACATATATATATATATATATATATATATATATATATATATATATATATATATATATGGCCTATATCATATATGATTAAGTGATGTAATAGTAGGACGCAGGCAGTGTTCTGGTTTAGTCCCGAGTTCTCATTTTCCTTCGTATGGCCCTGGTTACGATATCAATATCAGGTTCTTGTACCCTTTACATAATTTATATAATGAACATCAAGGCAATCTTGGGAAATTCATAGATTTATGTACCATGCAATGCAACTAAGAGCTGTACCATTGCATGCAACTAAGAGCTGTACCATGGAAAGCAACTAAGAGCTGTACCATCGCATGCAACTAAGAGCTGTACCCTCGCATGCAACTAAGAGCTGAACCATGGCATGCGACTAAGAGCTGTACCATCGCATGCAACTAAGAGCTGTACCATGGCATGCAACTAAGAGCTGTACCATGGCATGCAACTAAGAGCTGTACCATAGCATGCAATTAAGAGCTGTACCATGGCATGCTACTATAGCTGTTTTACCTTTCCTATAGAAAGGGATCTTCTTGTCCTTAAACATGGCCACCATCTCCGGCTGAGCTGTCTTTTCCTTGTGTTCTTTCATCTTGTCGAAGCTGCAGGCCAGGGTTATCTGTTCACACAACTCATCACTGCACCCAGTGCCAAGGAATGTATTCAGTTTCTTCACACCGCCGATGGGGTCCTAATATGGAATACACATAACAAAGAGCATCACTCAATCGAAATGTAAGGGAAACCTTTTTTTTAGAACATCAATTTTGGAAATTTTGCTTGTCTGAATGTGCAGGGTTTCTTTCAGCTATATCTCGGGCAGGCCCCCCCCACTGCCCCCCCCCCTCGAAAATCTGAAGTGCCCCCCCCCGGGGAAAATTTCTGAAAGAAACACTGAGTATATGTGAGCGTGTGTGCGTCTCTGTGTGTGTGTCCGTGTGTTTCTATGTGCATAATGTTGAGTGAGGGTATTTTATTGTTAATATAATCGTGTTAAATATGCGTACCAAATGTTTCACTATGTTTCTTTTATACTATAACTGGGTTTTATACCAACATTTTGGTTTTAGTTATTGAACTTATCTCTGTGACAAGAACACGTGAGTTTCTTCTACCAGCTCAGTGGGCTGAACATGATCTGTAAATGAACAGTTCTACTGGTTCTTAGATTGCCACAATAACAGTTTTCTTTTCGATTTTTAAAATCTAGTTTCAAATGTAATTCTACAATTCAATAAAATACTGACAAGCTTCATGTCCTCGTACACTGATGTGAAAATGGGGCAGTCGGGGTGAGCCTCTTTTCCTGTCTGCCACTCCATCAGGTAGTCGAACAGGTCACCGTAGTAATCTAGTCAGGAAACAGAATCAGTAGAGCTTTGATAGCTAGGGATACAGTGCAGATGGTCTGATGGTTCAATTAAAATACTGATTTTTTAAAAAGAGTATGGTTCTTAAAGATAAGAAGAAATATGTTAAAGATCACGTTAAATTGCGCACATGCTCAAACGGAAGATGCAGATGACAAAGAAAAATGTGTATGAAAAACATAAAAGAATATTTGCTAAGGCACCGCGCCTTGATACCTAAACAGTCTTTGGAGATTTCAATGCGAAGATCGGNGAGCACATGCTTACAGAACAACTGTCGGAAAGGAAAGTCTGCATGGTGAGAGCAGTGACAACGGTACACTCGTCTTAAAGACTTCGCTACAGGAAATGGAATGACGATCAGCAGCACAATATTCCAACACAAACAAATACATAAAGCGACGTGGGTATCACCAGATGGATTTCTCAGTAATCAAATAGACCATATACCCATTGACCCGAGGCAAGCTAGTCTTGGGGTAGATGAAGCGTGAACAAAATATATAGTAATGGGATGAAATACGCATCCACTTGACAACATCAATGTAGGTAACGTTGAGAGAGGGACTACTTTCGAATATTTAAAAGCTACAATACATGAGCACAATGAGATAGAGACATAGATGAAAGAAAGGATAACAGGGGGCGACCGTGCTTATTTCAGCCTACAAAAGCTACTAAAAAGCAAAAACAAATGAAGCCCATGTGCACCACTATCATAAGACCAGTTGGAATTTAAGCCCGTGAGACTTGGTCCCTTACATCAGAACCTGGTCAAAACATGGCAGAGAAAAATCCTCAGGAAAATATATGGTCCGCTGATGTGCAATGATTGGATAGTGCAGGAAAGTATTCGGGTGCCGTGATATACAATGATGGCTGGAGCGTCCGTACAAAACAACGAGATTATCATCATAATAGTTTGAAGAACTTTCTAATAGAAGAATCACTTAAACAAAGGCAGACTGCACTGGACAGGACATATTGAAAGGATGCCGGATTGTAGGGATGCAAAAGTGATCTATACAGGCAGAAACCTAGGGGCAGACGGCTCACCAGTCGACAAAAAGAATGAGATGGATCGACGATGTAGAAAAGGATTTAGACCAATTGGACGTTCGCCCATGGAGGCGGAAAGCCATAGATCGCCCCGAATGGAAGGATGTGGCGGGGCAGGCTAGGGCCCTACATGGACTGTGGTGACACAGATGATGATGAGATTTAGAAACAGAATGTTTAGCTAGATTTACAAACCAAATATTCAGAAACAACATTTTTGGCCAGATTTAGAAACAAAATGTTTAGCAAGATGCTTTTGAATTTCAATTTTATTTCCAACATAAACTAAAGATCCCCACGATGTAAGACTAACATGATAATATGTTAATACCATTATTCATCTTCACGGCTTCAGGTCATTTCTGACACAAACTAATCTTAAAGCTGTTTTCCTGTATAATAGGAATCAAAGCCTGGTGTTCGAATCAAAGCTTGGTGTTTGAATCAAAGCTCGGTGTTTGAATCAAAGCTCGGTGTTCGAATCAAATCTTGTTTTTCGAATTAAAGCTTGGTTTCGAATCAAAGCTTGGTGTCAAGTTACACCAAACAAAACACTCTTGGTTTCAAGTGACACCAAAGATCGGAGGTCAAAGAGCTTACATCCAACTTCTATGTTGAGGTAGAAAAACTGCTCGAAGGTCCCAGCGTAGTCCAGAGGCGGCACGTTCTTGTTCATGTGATTGTAGAAGGACACGAAGACGTCTTTCGGGTTTCTCTCCAAGTGGATTATCTTGACATTTTTCTCGAAGGCCTGCTTGGGTACATACCTGGGGATATTGAGCAAACAAAAGAATCTATACTATGGCCATCTACGACACCCACAGTCTGATTTTAAATTTGAGCGACCAATATGGGCTCTATTTCATGTCATCATGTACTATGAAAGGGAACACATCAGAACATCAAAATCAGAACCTCAACAGCTAAACGTCAACAGCATAACATTAACATCAGAACAACAGCAGGAGAACAGCAATATCAGACGCAAAACAGCAGAACATCAAAATCGGAACATCTACATCAGAACATCAACTGCGTAACACCAATATCAGAACATCAACATTAGAACCACAACAGCCGAACATCAAAATCAGACCATCAACATCAGAAACACAACATCATAACATAAACATCAGACCATAAACATCAGACCATAAACAGCTGAACATCCCTTTCAGAACCTCAAAAGCAGAAACGTCAAAAGAATGTTTTTAAAATTCTTAAAAAGATTATTGTAAAGATTTGTTAAAGAGCTAAATGACTATCACATCTTCAGAGAAGCTCGCCGTTAGACAGCTTGGCCCGTCCCATGCGGCATCTTCAGAGAAGCTCGCCGTTAGACAGCTTGGCCCGTCCCATGCGGCACTAACCTTGGCTTGGCCCACTCAGTGCGGCACTAGCCTTGGCTTGGCCCACACTGTGCGGCACTAACCTTGGCTTGGCCCACTCCATGAGGCACTAATCTTAGCCTGGTCCGCCCCGTATATCACTTACCTTAACTTGGCCCCCCCCTCCCATGCGGCACTAAACTTAACATGGCCACCATATGCGGCACCAACATTAACTTGGCCCACCGCGTGCGGCATAATCTTCGCTACGCCACTGAGATGTCTCTTATATTCAACACACATTTACTCCCTAAAATTAATGATGCATTGTGAGTTTGAACGAACATTCATTTTCACCTGTACGGCATGTGAGTGACCAAAAATCTGGGAGAAGGCAAGGCTTTGAAGTGTGCCTGGGGCATCATGTCCAGAAATCCCATGGACGTCTCGCCGCTCGTGATCTCCGATGTCTTCTGCATCAACATGTGGACCATCTCTTGTTGCCAGTGGAGTCCTGTAAACATTCATCACACAGAAATTCACCAATCATTCGTCATAAAATGATTAGACTATTAGAAGGCAGTGAAAACTTTTTTTTTTTTTTTTTTTTTTAAAGTCAAAATAATTCAGTTACTTAAAACTATGCAATTGTTAAAAAGTGAACCGCTACAAATGTGCGCCTGCGACTAGTTTAGATATCGCCTGTCTCAACGTTTGGGAGAAAATGAAGCAGATTACAGACAACCGAGGAAATTGACGAGTGCGAACCGTGATGCAGTGTGTAATAGAAAAAAATCAGTATCAGAGAAAGAGGTAATGTGAGATAGAGAGAAAGACCGACACAGAGAGAGAGAGAGAGACATACAGAAATAGAGAGACGGAAAGAGGGTGGATGTATCGGGTACACCATGCGCACACTTCATTACCTGACTTTGGATATGAACAAATCAAAATGTCATCCGGTCTCATTTCCATGGATCTCACCGCCCGAGCATGTGACCTGAAGTCGTTGTTGGAGCCAATGGGAAAAGGGATGTGCCAGTAGTCGCCAGCGTTGCCAAAGAGGATAGTGTTGCCGAACCTGGAGGTTTGGTTGTTATTTGTTTTGTTATTGTTTGTTTGAACATATAATATGTAAAACGAAATCTAAAAACTCAAACACGAAAAGATATGGACTTCTACTGTGTTGTTATTTGACAGAAATTACATCTCTGGTTGATGAATAAAACAATCGACTAAGAATAATTTCATTTGTTTTATTTGAATGCGTGTCCCGTTATGCACAAAATACGATTTGCATGGGTCTCAATCAATTCTTTAGAAAATCTTGAAGTTTCATCATATGAACTTTAACCAACCCACTGATCAAATCATTGATCCAGCATCAATGGCGCAACAGGCGACGACGACGCCGTAAATCTCGTGCCTGCTCCACCACATCCATCCACTTAGACCCACCCATGGCTTTTCGGCCTCCATTCACGGAACCCCGGCTGATTTCAATCCATCTCTACATCATCTGGCCATCTCAGTCACGGTTCACTGGTCATCTCAGTCTTGGTTGACTGGTCATATCAGTCTTGGTTGACTGGTATCTCAGTCTTGTTTGACTGGTCATCTCAGTCTTGGTTCACTGGTCATCTCAGTCTTGGTTCACTGGCCATCTCAGTGTTGGTTCACTGGTCATCTCAGTCTTGGTTCACTGGCCATCTCAGTCTTGGTTCACTGGCCATCTCAGTCTTGGTTCACTGGCCATCTCAGTCTTGGTTTACTGGCCATCTCAGTCTTGGTTCACTGGCCATCTCAGTCTTGGTTCACTGGCCATCTCAGTCTTGGTTCACTGGCCATCTCAGTCTTGGTTCACTGGCCATCTCAGTCTTGGTTCACTTGCCATCTCAGTCTTGGTTCGCTGGCCTTCTTAGTCTTGGTTCGCTGTTCATCTTAGTCTTGACAGTCTTGGTTCACTGGCCATCTCAGTCTTGGTTCACTGGCCATCTCAGTCTTGGTTCACTGGCCATCTCAGTCTTGGTTCACTGGCCATCTCAGTCTTGGTTCACTGGCCATCTCAGTCTTGGTTCGCTGGCCATCTTAGTCTTGGTTCACTGGTCATCTCAGTCTTGGTTCACTGGCCATCTCAGTCTTGGTTCACTGGTCAGCCGTCGTCACCTTGGTTTCCGTCTTATTTCTTTGATTGCTCATCTCAATTACTATATCTGTTAAGATTGGCGTATATCAATAAGATTGTCGTATATCAGTTAAGATTGGCGTATATCAGTTAAGATTGGCGTATATCAGTTAAGATTGGCGTATATCAGTTAAGATTGGCGTATATTAGTTAAGATTGGCGTATATCAGTTAAGATTGGCGTATATCAGTTAAGATTGGCGTATATTAGTTAAGATTGGCGTATATCAGTTAAGATTGGCGTATATCAGTTAAGATTGGCGTATATCAGTTTAGATTGGCGTATATCAGTTAAGATTGGCGTATATCAGTTAAGATTGGCGTATATCAGTTAAGATTGGCGTATATCAGTTAAGATTCGCGTATATCAGTTAAGATTGGCGCATATTAGTTAAGATTGGCGTATATCAGTTAAGATGTGCGCATATCGTTCAGCATCTATCGATTCTTATCTCAGTATTTTAAAAAAGATAATTTATATGCTTCTTGTTTAAATGTTTATGGTAATGGAATCGTCTGACATGAAAATGACCTTACCTGTCGGCCACCTGTGCCAGCTTGGGCATACCGAAGTCTCCGATGACAGGACCATCATCTTTCTTTGGCCTCTCTTCTCTCTTTCTAGTAGCGCTTGACCTGTGACGAAATCAAACCAACCATGCACAATGAAACCAGTGAGCTGCCGTCCATGGAAATATATCAGGAAAGCCTTTAAGATAACTTATTGGTTCTCCCGTGTATGTAAATGTGATATGAATCTCCTTTGAAAACGCAAGTCGGCCGTAACACAACGTCTCAAGTTGCCCTGAACAGCACATACAACTGAATTTAAACTTTAAACAAACTATACAAACAGCACATACATATTTCACATACAAAAATATCAAGTTCAAATCAAACCAATTTTATTTCAACAGAAACCACAAACAAACATTTGCATTTTCCTAATGCTCTAAGACGGTGCTAGCTTAATACCGTTCTAGCTTAAGACGGTGCTAGCTTAAGACCGTGCTAGCTAAGACCGATCTAGCTTAAGACGTTCTAGCTTAAGTCCGTGCTAGCTTAAGACCGTTCTAGCTTAAGACCGTGATAGGTTCAAATGAGCAGCCTCCGAAAGAACGAACTCTCAATAAATGTTTTGAAAAAATAGATATTCTTACCCTGTGGTATCATAAGGTTAGCTTGCGTATTTTTAAATCTAATTCTTTAGATAATCACTAATCAATAGTTAACCAAGGCGTTGAGACAACATGAAATTGATGTGTTTAAACATCCTAATAAAAACTGTTATATTAATAGGCTTTGTCATTTCTAAGTCCTGAAAACGTCATAGCGTACTATTTTTAGAAGGTCCGCGGACAAATATTGCTTAAAACATGGCAGCTTATAGAGTGTTTCAGCATATCGTTCGGGGGATCCTTGTATCTAGAGTTACTGTTACATATGACGTTCATGCAATGAAGTCGCATTTGAGAAAACAGAAGTAAAAAAAAAAAAGTGTAAAATATTTCGTAAAATAGAGTTGTAAACACGTTTCAGGGACACTTCGCTAACATAGTAATACTGAACAGTGTTGACATTTTGTCCGCGCTGAGTACCCGGATGATCAGTAATGGTGACATCAGTTCTATTAATAGATTTCCGCCATTAAATGACAAGCCCTATTATTACTCACATATTTGACGAAGTTTGCTGTCACAATATAATCACAACATCTGACGCTAACTTGTAATCACTGACTAGTCGGCCGTGTGACGTCGAGTGTGTCCTTTCGAGTGTGTCCTCGTGATAAACGTACACACGTGGGTTCAACACGGATGTTGACCTAGATACGTCAATTCAAAGTTTTGATCTGTGTGGCCCCGCCCATCGCTCAGATCTTGAAGTGTTTATATTCTTGAATAAAAAAAGTTTGACCTCAAATAACCTTTAACAGAAGCGATAACATTTCGTTATTGATTATATTTGAGTTCAAACTATTCTTTCATCCATTACAGGCGGGGCCCTTTTCAAAACTCTAGGGAGCCATTCTAAAATAAATTGGGGTCACAAAATGGAACATTCACAGCACTTTCTGATCCTTTAATAAAAAATAATAAGTGTAACCGGCTGTAACCGGCTGTAACCGGCTGTAACCGGCTGTAACCGGCTGTAACCAGTGCTTTTTAAAATGTTTATTATTTTAATGACGTCACACATTACCCATCTTAAACCAAGTTGTCGTTGTCTCGTTCGGATGCTTTCAACCACACATAAAAAGATATAGGCTCGCAAAATAAAATTCAAAGAAATTAGCACTAAATGGGATTCTTAAAAAAGGTCCCACTTGACTACATGTTTTGTCAAGTCATGATTGTTGTAGCTGGGAAGGTCTCGCATCGCCGCCACCAATCAATGCCATTGTTTGCTGGGTTATTTCTAGTCTTAGAATCATGGCACATTTTATTTTGTATGTGCATATTGACCTTCTGACCTTCTGACGTCGAAACAAAAACGGCAACCTCTTTTGCTCCCCCCCTCCTCCTCCCAAAACAAGGGGTCACCACGCAGACACATCCACACAAACGTACATGATGGCTGCACTTAACGCCAGAGGTATTTGTTAACCGCACCTCATCATCATCATCATCATCATCATCATGTCCCTTAGTCCTCGGACCGTTGGGGCGCCACAGATGACATGTGAACTATCCTCATCCATTAGTCTCTGTCTTCTGCACTTCGCACAGCGGCACCTCAGGTCTTGGTATATTCTGTCTGGGACATGCGGTCTGATAAGGCAAGACCACAAGATGACAAGTCATGACCCAGGGGCGTGGGGGGGGGAGGGAAGTGGTGCTGACGGGTGGTCCATACTAGAGGCATTTAAAAAAAACACATTTAAGGGAGTTGGGCATTTTGGCCAACTACGGGGGGGGGGGGGGGGGGGGTGTTCGTTGAAGGGGGCGTCAAAGAGCGTGTCCCGCCCCCGGATGGCTTGACCCTCATCTACGCAACTGTTATAATCCAATTATTTGTTGAGAGCATTTAAAAGCTTTTGAATCATTTTGTTATGTCATTATTTCCACTTGGGCAGCGGTTCTTAAACTGTGGGTCGCGACCCCTTTTGAGGTTGAACGATCCTTTCCCGGGGTCGCTCGCCTCGGACCATCGGAAAACACATATTCTACAGTCAGTTATGAAGTAACAACGAAAATAACTTTTTAGTTCATAAAGGGTCGAGGCATTAGAAAGCTTGAGAACCACTGCACTAGAGGGTTTTTCTTTTTTTTTCTTTTTTTTTTTTTTGGGGGGGGGGGGGGGGGGGGGGGTTGAAAGAAAAAAAAA